GTGTATATCATGTGCGTGTGAAACGTAAAAGGAATAAAGTTCCTGACTTTAGTGCGGCTAGAACTTAGTCAGTTGTGTTTCTAGTTTTTGTTTTATATGTTAATGTTGTGAATTAGATATGTTTGTTTGAATGAGTTAAACATAACAAAAGAACGTTATCCACTCTTGTAATGTAAAACGTGGTGATAATAGTTTCTATAGGTGTTCACGTGAAGCTGATTGTACGAGGATTAGCCAATCACTGTCTTAGCTTATTACAGTTAGCCAATAATAGGTTCCCACGGTACACTGACTAATCACTGATTAACGCTACTATTGTAGATTAGCCAATCACTGATTTAACTTATTACAGTTAGCCAAAAATAAGCTTCTACGGTACATTGGGTAATAACTATTTAAGGTTACTTTCTTAGATTAGCCAATCACTGTCTCAAGTTACTATAGTAGGATAGCCAATCAGTGAATCAATGCCTTTGGTTACAACTATTGATTGACCAATCACTACTCCAGGTTACTACTGTTGATTGACCAATTATTGCTTTAGGTTACTTCAGTGGATTAGCCAATCACTGCCTCAAGTTACTATAGTAGGATAGCCAATCAGTGAATCAATGCCTTTGGTTACAACTATTGATTGACCAATCACTACTCCAGGTTACTACTGTTGATTGACCAATCATTGCTTTAGGTTACTTCAGTGGATTAGCCAATCACTGTTTTAAGTTACTTCAGTGGGTTGGCCACTGTAAATAAGCCATATTAATATATCCACTCCCGCCACTATAAAGAAGCCATATTAATATATCCACTCCCTCCACTGTAAATAAAGCCATATTAATATATCCCCTCCCTCCACTGTAAATAAGCTATGTTAATATATCCCCTCCCACCACTGTAAATAAGCTATGTTAATATATCCCCATAATTGATTACGTTTCTGATATTTTAATAGAATATTTCAAGATTTCACGTTACTGCTTCCAAAGGTAGCTTATTTTTCTATAGGTCACGAAAATGTACATAATTTTTGAACTATTTACGTAAAAATTGTTGAATGTTGTGCGAAAGCCACGTGAAGCCAATCTGTTTTTTATAGTGTTGGGAGTGGATATATTAACATAGTTTATTTACAGTGGCGGGAGTGGATACATTAACATAGCTTATTTACAGTGGTGGGAGGGGATACATTAACATAGCTTATTTACAGTGGCGGGAGGGGATATATTAACATAGATTATTTACAGTGGCGGGAGTGGATATATTAATATGGCTTCTTTATAATGGCGGGAGTCTACAGACCTAACACTACTTTCCCACAGTTCCTGTCATTTGACACGCACGCGTGTGTGTTTCCAGAAAACAATTTCTGCTTCTGTGACAGAAGAATCTTCTTAATGCCTGGATCTATTACATTCAGCCCAGTCTTGCTGAACAGTGGGTTTAAGTTTCTTTTAGTGTCTCTCTTCTGTAAAACTTCTAAGGAAGGAAGCTGTAAATACAAGAATCGTGGATGTTTTAGTAATATTAGTGTTGGATAATTTTAACCCTACATTTCACGGGTGTTGCTTAATACACAAACACGTTCTGTATTTGCATTCTCTTACTTCCCGATAACAATCTAAATAAACCATGGAATTGTTATTATCATTATTTTTAGTTCCGCGATTATCTTGGTAATGTTCTATTTATGACTTACCAAAAACGTATTTTTTTTCTCTTCAATATAAACCTAATTCAGTAAGAAACTCAAAGAAAACATTATTTCCATCGTATTTGCCCAACGTGTGCAATAGAGGATTAATTCAGTGACGTCAGAGAATATGTTTTTACGTCATACTAAGTTTCGTTTATCGACTAATAATGTTCTTTCACTGCGATTTTTATGTAGAATAATACGAACATTACATAGTTGTAACAGCTTTTACTGAATTATCCACAGTAAAACCTAACACAGCCATAAAATATTTCTCACTTAGAAACAAGACCCCTCAATGGGTCAGCGGTAAGTTTATGCTTAAATTCAGGGTTCGATTCCCGCGGTGGACAGAGATCAGGTAGCCCATTGTTTGGCTTTGAGTTAAAGACAAAAACAAACGAGCTAAGAACAAAAGCAGTGACACCTACCGACGAGGATGACGCTCGCAGACCTAACTTCTGAGAGGAATGTTTCTTGCTTCTGTTTCCAGTGAAGGACGTCTCCGTGAGGCAGTGAAGGTCGTCTCCGTGAGGCAGTGAAGGTCGTCTCCGTGGGGCAGTGGAAGTCGTCTCCGTGGGGAAGTGAAGGTCGTGGGGCTGACGAATTTTCTTCGGACTGTGACGTGGAGTATATTTCTTGTCAGAAAACACGAACTCTGTAATATTCCGAGGAAAGCCAGGGGGTGGACTTCTTATTAAGTGAACGTGCATACTTCCACCCGTTTCCTCTTGTTCTGAGGTACCATCAGTGTTAATTAGCTTCTCCTTATCCAGAGTGGGAGGGGATGAAAAGGCCGTGTCGGGAAAATCATGATCGCTCCCCACCTTCTTCAACTTTTCTTGAATGTAGGGGTTATCTTCTCGTGAAAGACAAAGAGTCTCCATTTCTGGGTGAGGAACAGGGCAATGGGTGTAAACGTTGGCATGTTTCCTGTTTCTGGATGATGAGAGAAGCTGACTGGTCGATTGATAGATACTATCAGAAAGAAAAGTCCCATTTTTAGGGTTAGAGCCTCTTTCGGTTTCTGCTAAGGGGTCCTCGCTTCTGTCTCTAACATATATCTCTGTGTCTTTTCCTTTTCTTCTGAAAATCCAGAACAAAAAGAGCAAAGGCTGGAATAACATTTTAACATTAGAGTTAATTATAATTAATCCGTGAATTTTTACGTTAACACAAGTAAACTTAAACCCTCACACGTAATTTAACAAAACAACCCAACCTCTTTTTAGAACACCTAGTCTAAACAACCCAACCTCAATTTAGAACACTCACTCTGTCGATATCAAGTTCAATTTAAAACACTCATTCTGTCGATATCAAGTTCAATTTAAAACACTCACTCTGTCCATCTCAACCTCAATTTAAAACACTTCTGTCCATCTCAAGTTCAATTTTAAAAGTAATGCAGCACAAGTTACATTAATATTTGTTTAACACTTACTTTAAAACTTACATAACTATTAAACACCTTTAAAACAAAATACCCAATACTTTGGAAACCTAGTGAACTGCCTAACAATTAGGAAACCTAGTGAACTGCCTAACAATTTGGAAACCTAGTGAACTGCCTAACAATTTGGAAACCTAGTGAACTGCCTAACACTTTGGAAACTTAGTGAACTGCCCAGCACTTTTGAAACCTAGTAAACTGCCCAACACTTTGGAAACCTAGTAAACTGTCCAACATTTTGGAAACCTAGTAAACTGCCCAACACTTTGGAAACCTAGTGAACTGCCCAGCACTTTGGAAACCTAGTGAATTGCCCAGCGCTTTGGAAACCTAGTGAACTGCCCAACACTTTGGAAACCTAGTGAACTGCCAAACACTTTGGAAACCTACTAGTGAACTGCCAAACACTTTGGAAACCTAGTGAACTGCCCAACACTTTGGAAACCTAGTAAACATAGATAGATAGATATATTCTGTGTCTGGATGGCTAGATAGATAGATTGATGAATAGATTCTTTATCTGGATAGATAGATAGATGCTGTATTTAGATAGATAGATAGATAGTTAAATAGATAAATAGATAGATAGATAGATAAATAAATAGATTCTTTATCTGGATGGGTAGATAGATAGATAGATTCTGTATCTGGATGGATAGATAGATAAATAGATAGATAGATAGATAAATAGATAGATAGATAGATAGATAAATAGATTCTTTATCTGGATGGGTAGATAGATAGATAGATTCTGTAATTAAATTCATTACTTTCCCACTTTCCTCTCTAGTAAAAAGACCACAGAATCAACAAGAAACAGCGGTGTGTAAGTAGTTGAACCTAGTGAACTTCTTTAAACAAAAAACAGATATTTCAGAAGGTTCAATAACCCCCTGACACGCGCAGGTTCAATAATGGCAGCTTTTTCTAACAGTCGACACATTGACTAATAACAGTCTTCGTTCTCGGTGTTGAGGGAGGGGGAAAGTACTCGTTAACACGTGGACGTCTATCTATTCCCCTACAGCTGAAGTGTTGTTCTGACGTCTTTTATTCTGAAAATACCTGGGATCGAACGTTGGAGGTCAGTACCCTTTTCTTTCTGTCTATCTAACAGTTAATTCACTTCTGTCACTACAATTGTGTCTTACCTTCAGCTTATAAATTGTAAAAAAAAAACTAGCTAGGCATTTGTATTTTCTGAGTTTTAAAATAGTTCAAACACAATTCCATCTGGCCAGTTCATGAACCTAGACAAAAAATCTGACTTTCAAATACAAAAAAATGATGTTTCTAAAGTGGAGTACCCCGGCTGACCAGTGGTAAGTTTACGGGCACCCAACGCTAAAAACCCGGGGTTCATTTGCCGTGGTGGACATATCTCAGACAGCTTATTGTTTGACTTTGCGATAAAACAACACAGACGCACACTTAAAATCGGATAATTATCATAATTGCAGCTTTATTTTCATTCATTTTTAATTACAAGATAGACTTTCATCCTTCTAAAATGAAGTAGTTAGGTGTATTTTATTTCATCTGACCGCTAATATCTCTAAACAAACGAAACTTAACGCACCGAATATTAGTAGATCCTTCTTTCTCAAACAATTGTTAGTGTACATCTTGAGATCCATGGTTCATGTCTCGCTCCGATCTTTATAACATTTCACTATTCGATTACAGTAGCTCAAGAGTTGGCGATAGGTGCTGTTGACTAGCTGCCTTCTTTTTCGCCCACCCTCCCCATCTCTTACATTAACTGAGCTTTGGGTTTCGGTTAAAGTTTGATAAATAATCTTACCTGAAAATATTAGAGAAAAAATCAAAAGGATTTCTCTTGCCGGTAGAGGGCACATTACCTTCCGTTTGTGAATCTTCCGTGTTGATCTGTAGCATTATCCTGACAAGAAAAATTTAAAAGAAAATTTAGTAGGTGAATTTAAGCTTCCCATATTCATGTTTTCTTCCCTCGTTTATTGTATACATCACGTAGACGTTTGTACTAATAAAAACCCATTAATGAACAACCATGCTACATCTACCATATCAAGTGCCGACGAGGCCTTTCTTCCAATACCAGGACTCATCAGGCTGGTTGGGTTACACGACAGACATACTAGTGATTTAGACGCCATACAAAAGTTACACATGACAGCGTCTTTAGCCGACCATACAACTGTTTACTGTGTACATCATACAACTGTTTATTGTATACACCAAACAACTGTTTACTGTGTACACCATACAACTGTTTATTGTATACACCAAGCAACTGATTACTATTTACATCATACCAGTGTTTACTATATACATCATACAACTGTTTACTATTTACATCATACCAGTGTTTACTATATACACCAAACAACTGTTTACTTTGTACATCATACAACTGTTTACTTTGTACATCATACAACTGTTTATTGTATACACCAAACAACTGTTTACTATATACATCATACAACTGTTTACTATATACATCATACAACTGTTTATTGTATACACCAAACAACTGTTTACTATATACATCATACAACTGTTTACTATATACATCATACAACTGTTTACTTTGTACATCATACAACTGTTTACTATATACATCATACAAGTGATTACTATATATACACCATACAACTGTTTACTATATACATCATACAAGTGATTACTATATATACACCATACAACTGTTTACTATATACATCATACAACTGTTTACTATATACATCATACAAGTGTTTACTATATATACATCATACAACTGTTCACTATATACATCATACAACTGTTTACTATATACATCATACAACTGTTTACTTTGTACATCATACAACT